CTCCAATGAAAGGTTAGATTTATGTGAATTTTTAAAATAAAAGATCAAAATGATTAACGATGCAGATTTATTTTCACAGCCTTCTTTGAATATTTACCAAGGGTGCCAATAATTCTCACCACGAGTGTATGTATGTGTGTGTATATATATATATATATATATAAATAGGAAAATAGTTATTGTACATTTCATAATATTACTGTTTTTATTGTATTTTTTGTGAAAATCAGCTTTGGTGAGCATAAGACCCTTCTCTATCTTACAGTTTCCAAACTGTTTTTCACCCAAATACATAAATATACCAAGAAAATAAATTATAATTTCAGTAAATCACTTGTCTTTCTTTCAGACTGAAACTAAAAGTGAGCTTATATGGTTTATGAGCTTATAAAGGCCAATACAGTATGTTCCACTTCATTATGTCACTATGTTTTACTCAAAGACATCTTATATGTGTATATATTATCTAAATCATCACAACATTCATCAAAGTAAACCTCACTTTGCAACAACATCTGGATGGATCTCAGCTATGACTTTTCTCACGTATGCAGGAACAGGCTTGGCAGACGGAACACAGGCATTGCTTTTCAGATCAGATGTCTTCTTCAGTGTCTTTCCATAGTATTCCTGTATTAAAGATTCATTATTTTACACCATTGTGAGCATTAAACGTGTTTAACACAATCCAGCAATTAAAATATTAATGTTACTATGGTGACTATATTGGCTGCGATGTGGGATGTAGAAAATAACAATAGGCATTGATAAAATTACTTTCATTTTGTTATACAAGATTTCTTTAAGTTGTACAGCCCTTAAAAGTCAACTCGGTTTCGTTTTTTAAGTTTGGAAAAAACATACCTTCACGCCATTGTAGACACTTGCAACATCAGTGTTACTGTGAACAACAATAAGAAATTGTACTGAGAATACTTGACTTTATGTAACAGAATAGCCTATAGGCCTATGTTGGGCGACTCCAGTCGCTACGTAACGTAATAATCTAACGTTATTTGTTATTACAAAATGAAAACCCAGTTACTTTGTCAGCTTGAATCATATTGCAAATCAAATGTAAAATATTAGAATACTGAGCAACAATAAATAAACAATAAAAAGAAGTTTTACCTGGCTGCTGTAGGTCCGTCTGCCATGATTAAACGCCGAACTAGGTGTTTTTTAGCCTTTATCTCGACTTCCGTAACACATTCAGCCAATCAGAGAGCAATATTATGCTGCAGCCCACGGAAGTAGGATTGTTGACTGAACTGTCATGGTGAACAATGAGATATAATATACGGTAATAAAGAATATTATAGGATTGTTTACAGGAAGATAAGAGAGTTTCAAATGAATATGTTTACAAAATACTACATTACTTAGTAGTTTAAAGTCGATCTGGATCAAATTATATTGTCTAGTTAATATAGCCGTGACTCTTGAGATGGTCACATTTATTCAACATGGTACTAATATCTGCTTTAGTTGAAGACAAGCTGAAGGCACGAAGCGACACTGACTGAACGAGACATCTCGTTCGTAAACAAACTTAATGTACTGTGACATCTCCTTCTTGAACCGAGGCCTTCGACCGACTGAACGAGAAGTGCCGGTGATTATAAGTGTACAAACAGTGATTTAAAAATAAGTAAATAAAAAGACAAGCTATTTAACTCTTTTTTTGGACTCACTTACGTAGCTAATAGGCGGACAGTAGTGAAATATTTTTACTTTACTCAAGTAAATTTAAAAAGTATCGATTATCAGTGTTTTTCTTTGGAAAACTTTACTTCACTGCATTCCAAAGCATATGTCATAATTCTTACTGCACTACATTTCATAAATAAAAGCGGTTTGTTTTACCTTTAATACTTAAGAACATTAAAAAAAATGTAGTACTTTCTTGTACTCAAGTAAATCTTTGAATTACTTTTGAGTAAAAGTAAGCAACTAATAAGAGTTCTAATGTAATTAAGTATTAAATTATATTTAATATGAAACGTAATGCAGTAAAAAGTACAATATTATGCTTTGGAATGTTGTGAAGTAAAGTTTTCTAAAGAAAAACACTCTGATAAAGTACAGACACTTGAAAAGTACTTTTAAAGCGGAGTAAAAATACTTCACTACTGTCCGCCTCTGAATGCACAGTTCACTAAAAAGATCCGTTCACTGCACTATTCAAAGGGCCACTGAACGGATCTTGTTAGTGAACTGATTCAAAGATTCGAGTCACTGGAATGAATCAGAATCCCTACCGCTTTTAAAAAAACACGTAACAAAACACAACACTTACACATGTTGTTTTGATTTGCGTTTAATGGACAGTGTCACGATTAGTTTTTTTGCATAACACAAGATAAACACATAAAAATATGAACTGCGCCAGAACTCATATGATTACATAGATTGTTAGACAAAACAGCTGCAGGCTGTACAATATGACACATTTCTTACGTGAGATGCATCAGAGCATTTAAGACTTAAGAAAATCAGCAGATTGTTAATATATCAGAGAAAGAGATTGATTAGGTAGGCCTATCTGACTCTAAGCTAGCTCTAATAATAATAGATTGTCATCACAGAGACACCAGTAAGAGCAGCAAATCTCTTTAACATTCATTAGGACAGTTAAATAAATTAATTTGTTAACATGGAGAGCTTTAAAAAGAGTGCTTCAATGGTCATGGAGGAACAAACTGAAGCTACTTTGGTGCAGAAATACAAAAATTAAACATTTTATAATTACATATATGGCTCGTTAGTTTGCATGTGAATATAAAATCAAGGCACAGCTTTTGAGCTTTCATGAAGAAGAGCTTTTGTAAAAAACTATATTCTATGACGTTAATGTTCAAGATGATACTTGACAACTGGCACGTGAAACTGTATTTAGAGTGGTTGTAACAGTGCAAAAATGACATAAAAGGCACTTGAAAAAATCATGTTACCACCATACAGCTTAATCAAATCTGTACCCATATGTGTCATCTAACATCAAGTTCAACAAGATATGCTTTATACATAGATTTACGTATAATATCATTTTAAAAACATCAAAATGTTTCTGTCTTTGGAGTTCACTTGAATATGTTCCAGCGGGGAAAAAAAGAAGTTTTTTTTTACTTGGTAGCTTATATCATTGACTAAGCACCTAGAAGAAATGACTTTACGCAGTAAATGCTTGTGTACTAAAGACACCTCCCTTTGGCAAGGCTTTTATCCCTACAGGGTCAAAGAAATCTACATTATGTAGTGTTTGCTTGCAATCAAAAACTGATGATTAGTAGTAATAAAGCAGCACTTATAAGCTCCAAGCCTAATTCGAACATCTGCCCAATGTCATAATCTGTATAGCCTACTTTGGCTATAAAAACTCAGATTTATGGATCAAACTTGTTCAGAATACCAAATACACATGACTAATTAATCAGAGCTTACAGCAGCCAAAAAGACGACAATATAAACAGATAAAATGTGAATTAAGACTGTATGTAAATGAATATGATTAATTCAGAAGAACGTGATTGTGCAAAACAAAAACTTAATACACACCAATAAGATTTGTCCCATCACATTAGGGAAGGTCAACATGGATATTAAAAGCACATGGTCTTTTTTGGTGTTCAGTCAGTTTTTAGATTGCTCTTTGACTGTCCTGAGACACTGAGAGTTCAGCACACTAGTGTTACATATTTAGAACCTCAGTCCTAAGACTGCACAGTTTAAGTCTGGTCACATTAGTAAAATTTCAGCGAGATTTCGAAGGTAAAAATGGTCCACTCTCAATAGTGTAGCAATGCATGAAGCCATGCTCACAAAGAAGTCCATTTCAAACCAAGCAGCTTTCTGTTGGTGAATGCAACAAATTCACATTACCAACTTAAACATGAATCTGCGAAACTCCCGTTCACACGGATTGCAATTTAATTTAATTCACCCACAACATTTTGCAGAGTAAATGTGGCCGCACCTGGAGGATGTCTTATGATGCGTACAAGTCATGTCAGAGATCGTATTTACAAGTTGAAGGCACACGACTGCCACCACAAAGTCGTAATTACGAAGTAGGAAACTATGGATATTCCATACGGAGTTTCTGAGTTCCGGACGTATTGACGGCAAATTCGTTGAAATTCGTTTTCTTTTTCATTTACAATAAAACTAGCTATGTTGCATGTACAAAAGTATTGTACAATTACGATAGACTAGGATTCAATTTACAGCACCTTTATACATTAAATAAAAATATTTTTAAAAAGTAAAATGAAATCTTATGTGCATTCTTTATTCGTCATTTTGTGGATTTTTTGGTGTAGAAAAGTTACTACGCCATCTTTCTCCAACCACAGTGATCTGAACGCATCTGATGTCATAATTACGATGAATCAACTTGTAAATGCGAATCTCCAGGGAATACCTGAACGCTCCATTACAGCACCACATGTATCGTCTAGTGGAGCAAGTAGAGCCCATCCTTGTGCACTTTTGAGCTTTTTAACCGGATAAATAGATGCTCTGTACATAAAACAACGATGCAGAGAACATCCGATTGTTTCCATCACATACTTACAAACAAATGTATATATTGTGCGATTACTCCGCAAAGCTTGCTCCTGCACTGCATACTGCAGCTTCCCTGTATGCTTGTCCTCCTCTCACTTTTTTTTTTTTACAGTAATGTCATGCATTTAGCTTTACGATTCTGTGTTACTATGTTGTGGACCCTCTTGTTCATTAATAGTATGCAAATAGAGGCAGACCGGATGAGGTTGAGATTGGGACATTGGCGATGCTCCACGCTCCACCCTGTTTTCTGGGGACAGAAGTCCCTGATTTTCCTCTCCGTAGGAACGAAGGCCACATTCCTCACAGAAATCCTCCGAGTCCTCCTCGCTCAAAAGCCCCTCGAATTCTTTGGGCTCATGGCTCTCCAAGCCTCGTCCACAAACACACACCTCAATCCCAGAGTCCCCCGTGAATCTGCGATGTCTTCCCAGAATCCTCTCTTTCTCGTCAGGCTCCTTCCTGCACTCGTTCTGCGTCTCCATGCTGGGAGGCTGCTGAGCGCTCTGTGCTGATCTGCCCCGCTCTAACTCCATCTCGCCCTTGCCGTCTTCTTTCTGGTGGTACCCATTAGAGGTGTGGATCTCCTCTAGGCTGGGTCTGGAACAGAGCGTTTCAGATGCAGGGGGCACTGGAGTGGTCTGTCCGGGTGTGCAGTGTGCATCCTGCTGGTCAGTGGTTAAAGGGCTGGTGTAGGTCGGAGGGCCGGCGTTTAAGGCACTATATGGAGGAGGGGGCGTAGCGGGCCGATGCACTACCTCCTCGTACTCTGGAAGGAGATAGTTGGGTAGGAATCCTGAAAGAAAAAGAATGGTGAGAAAATGTCTGAGAACAGCAGGGAGAATTTGAAGCATTCAAAATTCAGACTTTGTTTTGGTTGAAGAGCTACAGTTGTATCCATTTTAAAGGGACACTCTCATGTTGTTCCAAACTTGTAGGACTTTCATATGGAAGCCTACTTCTGCCACATAAAAATACATGAAAAAAACATGCTTTGGTAAATCATAATTACATAAATTATGACATATTTATGAGATAAAAAGTCAAAATTATGACATAAAACACTTCTTGTCAATTATGACTTTCAATTTAAGTCAAATTGATGACAAAGTCAAAGAAAAATGAGTGTCAATTGACTTTCAATTTCAACTCATAATTATCACAGTATATCATAGTTTTAACTTTTGATCAATTTTAGTATAATTTGAATTTATAACTTTATTATACCCTTTTATAATAATCTTGATTTAATCTAATGACTTAGTATGTCTATTTTGACTTCGTATCTCAGTCATGACAGTGTCAGTTTTGACAGTCATACTTTTGAATTTCCATGTCACAATTATAATTTTTATATCATATTTTTAACCTTTTAATGCCATAATTTTTACATATTACTTAGTATGTCATAGTTTTGACTTTTTATTAATTTCTACTTTCTGTACTTCAACTTTTTGTCAAACGTTTTAACTTTTTATGTCAGTTTTGACTTAGCATTTCATAATTTCAACATTTGATGTCAATTTCGACTTCTTTTCTTATGTGGCAGAAATGGGCTTCAGAAGTTTTCAACTGTTTTTGACCATTCAGATTTTCTTTTAAAGTGAAATATCATTTTAACAAGACAATGTATAGCACTTTTTTTAATATACACTATTTGTAACAGACTGTGTTAATACACAAAACCCAAAATACCACGTTTATCAGCTCATTACATCAACGATCAGAGTGATTCATCAGATTTTGTGAGCTGTCTTTGATCCATGGCTGATGAAAACAGATTGCACTTTATTACAGAATGTTCAGTTTTGTGCTAATAGCTTTAAATCACGTATTAGGGGAGGCCAGGACAATTGTTACATTAAACATATCTTGTCTCTCTGTTTTTGGTTAAACATTAACATAAATCACAAAGCCTGAATGAAGATTTCATCATGGCTGTGAGTTCAGGTGGCTGTACCAATAATTATGAAATACAAACTATGTAACATTTTTGTATTTTTAAAATCTGTCTGAAGACTGATAAATACAATTTAATAAGGATTTATATTTGAAAAAAAAAATATGGGTCACTCCAGTATGTTTCATTCAGAAGGGTTGCTATATTTATAATAACATTACAAACCCACTTAGTTACAAGGCTTTGATAATGCAACACCGTGCAAACCACCAGACCAAAATCCATCTTACAACATCACACGGCTTATGGTTGTGCTGAGATACACTGTGGTCTACTGGTCACATTAGTACAGTACAGTAAAAATCAACAATGGTCTCCGATCTGGAGGTCTACCATTCTCAGACCCACCCAAAATAAAATAAATTAAAATGCAGTTAATTAACAGCCGCTGTAATCAAACCCAGTAAAGCTCTATATCTCTTCTATAGGGCAGGTAATGTATGTTCTGCTATAGGTTCATTGTGTACACAGTTTCAGGTACTGAAAGCTATTGTAAGCAAGTATTTTTATGACACTATCTCAAGATTAAATAATAAAAAGCCATAAAACGATAAAGCAAAATAACTCAACAATAACAACTGATGTAGTTATCATCATGTGACGTGCTCACGTCACAGATTAGATTAACACCATGTCTGTACAGTACCGTGTCCAGTGTACTGAAATGTGTGTTATATTTATTCATTTATCAATTTTAGTGGTTGTCATACAAATAGCATTGTGTACTTGTGTTGTTTGCCTTTGTTTTGATCACAGCCAGTTCATGAATGACGATAATTTTCACTGAGAACAGGAATACTGATATTACTCATAATATTAATCATGCAATTAGTTGCCTACACAGTCCTTAAGGTTTGATTTCAGTCTGCTTAAAGGGTTAGTTCACCCAAAAATGAAAATTCTGTCATTAATTACTCACCCTCGTGTTGTTCGAAACCCGCAAGACCTTCGTTCATCTTCGGAACACAATTTAAGATATTTTTGATGAAATCTGAGGGCTCTCTGACCCTCCCATAAACAGCAAGGTAACTACCACGTTCAAGGTCCAGAAAAGTACCAAGATGATCGACAAAGTAGTCCGTGTGACACCAGTGGTTCAACTGTAAAGTTACGAAGCTACGAGAATACTTTTTTTGCACAAAGAAAACAAAAATAATGACTTTATTCCACATTTTCGTCTCTACTGCGTCACTTTGGACACACGTTCACGACAGTACCATGACGCGAGCGTGTGGCGGCGCTGACCCAGATCTGGCGTGATGACGTCATTACGGGTCTTACAGGTTTGAAACAACATGAGGGTGAGTAATTAATGACAGAATTTTCATTTTTGGGTGAACTAACCCTTTAATGCTGTAAAAGGACTATTGACTATAATTAGGGATGCACTGGCTGCCGATATTTATCGGCCGATTTTTTATTATTTTAAAGCCATTGGCATATTGGAAATAGCATGAAAAGGGCCGATACCGATGGTTTATTAATTAACTGCATGGAGACAACGAGTTGCATGTCTGTTGCATAATCCAACGTTTTTCTCTGAGCAAAATAATTAAATACTTGCCGAAACAAAATAAAATCTGTACAAAATATAGTTTGTCAGACGGCATAGTACGGCCATATGCAAATGTGACGCTGACACATCCAACGAGTGAAATGCCCGCGCTCAGCTGTGAACTAATCATAGGTAAGTCGCATTGGCAATGCACGGGCGTTAGATTGTTTTGGCTCGACGCTTATATTTAGCCTAAATACAACTTTAGAGGATTTGTTGTGGAGAGAAGGGAACTAAAATAGCCTAACTGTGTTTGTAATTTTGCTTTTATTTACCATTATTTTAGCCTACATTATTTATGAATGTAATAATAAACATACAGCCTACTAATTTATTTAGGCTGTTTTTTTCCCTCTCAAAATTAACGCTTATAGGAGTAGCGTTTTTTTATCCATGCTGAAACATTTTTAAATATCTTGAAAAAAAATTATTTAATGTTTTTACTGCGTTGACAGTTTTTTCCTTTGTTTAATATACATTTGGTCTTTGGTAAATCTAGCAAAGATGATGCTGTATTGGCTATGACTAAGAGAGATCATTCAAGACTCTCTTCATGATTTTTTTTTTCTTTTTGAGTAAATTAAACGCTGTACTTTATTATTATTATTATTATTGGCAAAGAAAAAGTTAAAAAAATTAATTAACGTTATGTTTTCTACTCAAACCGGTTTCACAGAGGAACGCAGGAACAGAAACGTTCAA